GAGAGGGTGAAGGGCGCACAGGTAATGGGGAAAAAAATAAGAACCAAGATATATCATGTACAGGTACAAACACCCAATGATAAATGTAAACGAATTGTATACCTAACATGTACCAATAAAAGAACAAAGAAAAAAAAAAGTATGCTTCCAGTGACACTGGAAAAGGTAAAGCTTGGCTAGTATTCTTGCTGTTTTCAGAACACAATCAAAAAATGAATAAGACAGGTCAAGTAAGTTAACCATTAAATTGGTTTCTCTTACCTTATGTGTGAGGCTAAACCATCCTGTAAGCTGGAGATTCCCAAATCAGAGAGTGTATCTGAGCTGCAAGAAGCTGGTGACAAAGAGCCCTCCTTCTCCTCCAGTAGGTCCAACTTCGCCAAGTTGCTGATCTCATCTTCTGAGTTATCTTCAGACACGGAACCAATTATGAATCGAGAGTGCTGGTTCAGCTCCAGAGGTTCAGCCAAGGAAGATGGTTCATCCATTATTCCTTTGAAGTAAGATCTGAGAGCTATGAAGAAATTGAAAAATGAGTGAGGAAAGCAGGTTATGGACAACAACCTATAGCTGGAGACACTCAAAGGTTATATCTAATAAACTACAACTGATCCTTGAAAGCAAGATAGTTTGAAAACTAGCTTCCTTAGCTATTCTATGTCAAGGCCTTTGTTTCCTACAAGGGAGAAAAAGTGAGGGCACAGTAACTATGCTACAAATTAAAACCAGTTCACTTTTTCCAAAAAAAAAAACAAAAAAAACCAACACTTTTTTTAAAAAACTTAAGCCATTCCCAATCACTTTACCAATTTAATGATATCCAAAGGATAATTATGACCATAGAGATATATTTGTAGTATGTGAAAAGCTGATTACTACGAGGTTGAAATTTCAGTTGTTAATATTGGGGGTAATGAGTGATAAGGGTTGGGAGAGACTGATAGCTATCTGAAACCTGGTATTTAAACTACGTGGCTGTGTGGCTCCAAACACTATGCAATGAAAAGTTAGGAATTTTACCTAAGTGCATACCTTTAAAGTAAACTCTAGGTGCGCCACCACACCTGATTTATTTCATTAATTTTTAAAAACCTTTATATATCCTTGAGTTTTTTCTTAAACTACATCTTTTTCTTATTCGTACATGTTTGTCATACATAATGATTACATTCATTTAGAGAGTTGGTGGTACATGTACATGGCACATCTTAATTCTTTTTGTTAATCCCCTTTCGCTATTCTCCCTCCCCCTCACTTATACTCCTGGACCCCTTCATGTATGTGTATGTGTGTGTATTATACATGTTATAGTACATATTGATCATGTTCCTCATAGAGACTTGGTGCATGTATGCAACACTTTATAATTCCCCTTTTAAAAATTTTGTATCTCATTTCCCTCCCCTTTCTCCTCCCTCCCTCCATCTCCTGGATCTGTGAAAGATCTATTTTGCTATTTCCTATTGTCTACCTTTTACTTTATTTTATTTTGTTTTGTTTTTTGGCACAGGATCTCACTATGCAGTCCAGGCTGGCCTTGAACTCACTATGTAGCCCAGGTTGGCCTCAAACTCATGGCTATCCTCCTACTTCAGCCTCCTCTAAGCACTGGGATTACAAGCATGCACCACCATGGCTGGCATTATCTATCTTCTATTTTGCACATTATATATTTTGTGTTTCTCATATAAGAGAAACCATGCGATATTCAAGCTTGTGTGTCTGATTTATTTCATTTAACATTATAGTCTCAGACACCATCCATTTTTTTTTTGCTTAAATTCTTTTATTGGTATATTTGAGGTATATAATACATTTCCATTTATCACTGGGTGCTTGTACCTGTACATGATGTATCTTGGTTCTTATCTTTTTCCCCCTTACCTGTGCACTATTCCCCCCCTCCACCCTTCTCTATTCACAGAGACTTTGTTTCCATTTCTTTCTTTTCTCATAATTTTTCCTTTCCCTTCTTTCCTTTCCCCTTCCCCTCTCATTTCCCCTACCCCTTTGGACCTTTTCTTCCTATTTCAAATTATCATTATGCATTTTAATCCTTATTTACACTTTCAGTTTTTCACAGTAGAGAAACTATTTGGTATTTACACATTTGTGTCCTATTTCTTTCACGTAAGAGTATGGCCTCAATATGCATCTATTTAGCTATAAATGTCTCTAGTTTCTCATTCTTCATGGCTGAGTAGTACTCCATTTTATTAAAAAAAACACATCTTCTTTATCCAGTCTCCAGCTGATGGGCATTTGGGCTGTTTCCAAGCTTTAGCTATTACAAACTGTGCCACTGTAAACATGGGTGAACATATATTACTGTGGATGATTCTTTTAATTCTTTTTTTTTTTTATTCTTTTAATTCTTTTGGAAAGATACCCAGCAGGGGAATAGCTGGGTCAAATGGGTCCTCTAGCCCTAGTTCTTTGAGATATCTCCATACTGATTTCCACAGTGCTTGCACCAATCTGCACTCCCACCAACAATGGAGGGGGGTTCCTTTCTCCCCACACCCCCACCAGCATTTGTTACTGATTTCTTGATAGCAGCCAATCTTTCTGGGGTGAGGTGGAATCTCAGTGTTGTTTTCATCTGCATCTCTCGAATGACCAGTTGAACATTATTTCATATGTTTATTTGCTGCTTTTACTTCATTGTCTGAGAAATGTCTGTTCATTTCAGATGCCCATTTTTGAATTGGGTCTTTGAATTTGGGGGGGTCTAATTTTTTTCAGTTC